CCCATCCCTGCTCTGCTCCCATTTCCCAGTCAGCCACAGGGAGGTTTTTCCCTTGGATTCAGGCTGAGCTTGATATATTCAGCTTATTATTATAATTTTTAAGCAACTTGTTTCCTTGAGGGGACCCTGCGGGAGCTCGTTAGAGATCACAGAGCTGTTTCGGGGCACCGGGAGGAAGGATGCTCTTCCCCTTCGGATGTCAACACCAAGACAATTTCCCTGGGGAGCTCCATGGCTGCAGGCTGGGAATCCCTCTTGGCTAAAAATTGCCAAATTCATTTTCCTTCCATTTACGTGGAAAACTCCCAATTCACCTGTCAAATAATGAGCTGGGCCGGCAGCCCAGCACCGCCTCGGCTGCTCCATTAGGAGAGTTTTACACTTTCTATATTTATCAGTGGCACCAGCGCAATTCCCTCCCCCCCCACCTTTTAAAAAGGAGCAATTTTCTCTTTTTAACCCCATTTGCTTTCCTCGTCAAGGCAGTTATCTGACACTTAAAGGGACGTGATGACTGAAATTGCAGGAATTAGAGCCAACAGCCTTCAGCTCCTCGGAGCAGCCAGAGTTTGTGTTTTACAGACGGGCAAATCACAAAGCAGCTTGGAAAACCTCCTGAGGATCCATCTTTGCCATCTGAGAAGATTTTTTTTTTTCTTCTCCATTTTAGCTAAGAAAATGTGAATTGCCACTCTTTGCCAGCCCATTTCCGCACCAGATCTCCACCTGGGCAGGGAGAAGCATGCGGGGAATTTTGGATCAAGCTGGGCAGCTGCAGCTCCCCAGTGTTGTGACCAGGAATATAATTTCCTTGCCATACATCAGCAGCAACATGTGTTTTCACACTCTAAATCATCATCTTTAAATCAGAGCCATGCAAGCAGCCCCCCAGAGCCGTTTGCCTTGGGTCCCCTTTGGCTCCCGGCTCCCCCAGCACGGAGCTGGACGATCAAGGAATGCTGAGAGGCGAAGCCCCCAATGAACCCATCAAGGCACACTCCTCCCTGGGCTGACAGCTCTTCAAAGCCCTACAAATTGCTCGCCGGAGCGGCATTATTCATCTCAGCCGTGTCCCGGGGTGAGCCCTGTCAGCAAAGTTTGTTTTTCAGCCTCATTGGGCTTTTAGCGAGTGGAGGCAGCTCTGGCCCCTCTCCCTGTCGCCAGGGCAGCAGGCTGGGGAGAAGGGCTAGAGCTGCTCCACCCTCCCTGTGACTGTCAGCAGGGTGAGGGATGGATCATCCATCACCCGGGAACAGAGACCTCTGCCCCAACCCCACTGCTCTGCTGATGGGAGACAGAAGCTTTTACCCACCACCACCGCTCGGAAAGATGGGGCACATCGCAAGGGCATCGTCACTGCACAGCGGGATCCTCATCCTGCATCCCCTGCCACTGCAGGTGGACAGAAATGCAAGATCTCAGCCCAAAACCAACCCCCTGGCACAGCTACAAAGGAAGCCCCATTCAGAATCCTGCACAAAAGGGGCTGAAATTATTCCAGCTGTGGCTCAGAACGCCTCAGATCCCTGTGCCTCAAATTCCTTCGGCACTTGAGGAGTCCCTTCTTCACTTTCTATGTCCTGCTTAAAAAACAAAGGTGAACTTTACTCCCGGGGGACTTTTTTCCTCCTCCCTGTGACTTGCGTGACGTCACTTTGCAGCCACGCAGGCTTTGCCAGGGAAGCTGCTTAGCTCCATGGGGAGTCTGAAAGGATAAAACACAGTCTGAGCAGAGCCAGGAGCTGGCTTGGTCCCATTTTTCAGACCCATTGAGGCTTCAAATGTCAGAGTAGCTCCGTGGAGAATCCAAAGGGATAAAACACAACCTTAGTGGAGCCAGGAGCTGGTTTGGTCCCATTTTTCAGACCTGTTGAAACTGTCCAAGTCAGAGTAGTTCCATGGAGAACCCAAAGGGATAAAACATAGGGTCAGGAGCAGGTTTGGTCCTATTCTTCCAACCTGTCGAAGCTTCCCAAGTTTGAGCTGACTTTGCTTGGTGTGGATGGGCTGTGCTCCCCAATGGGAGCCCCAGCTGGGTCTCACCCCGCTCCCTGATCCCTTTGCATCCCAGTAAACCAGGATCCAGAGGGAGGACACAAGCTGTGTGCAAACCCCTGTGTTTGTTGCGGAGAGGCTGCAATTCCTTGTACCCTGACAGCACCAGATCGTGGCTCTGGGCTGGGTGCTCGCTGCCAGCTGACACAGGAGACTGGAAACAAACCACTCTGTGGGCTTGCAACCGAGTTCAGCTGCCAAGGAGATCTCCAAAAGCTATCTCCTTCCTCCCAGCACCACTGGGGAAGTGAAATGGGAATGGTTCCTGGAGGGAGGGACTGACTTCTAAGGGTTTTAAAGACCTTTAAAAGACTAGGTGACCTTTAAAGGTCCCTTCCAACCCAAACTCTCCCATGACTTCTGCTGAGCTGGGGGCTGGTTCCCCTTAACTGAGCCCTGCTGTGAGATCCCCAAGGATGTTGGTGAGCCCATTTCCCTCTCCTCCTTCCCTGTGAGGAGAAGGAGGCCTGTGGGGCTGGCAGCTCCAGTGCTCAGCCTCAGCCATCCCGGCAGCTGAGTGATGATCCACGGCACGTTATCGATCTGCTCGGTGCTGTGCCCAGGTCCTGGGACAATTAGGGAGCCGTCTGGCTCTGCAACACACACCAGGCATTTGAACAGCCACCAGAGCCTCCCGCTTCGTGCCTGGGAATACATTATCCACAGGTTGCAGGGAGATGAGATAAAAATCATTTATCCCTGTGCCTTGGCCTTTTGCGGGGAGCTCAGCGCACATCCATCACCCCCAGCATCCTGCAGAGGAGGTGCTCGGCACAGAGGCAGTGTCAAGGGGCTGGCCCCGCTCCTTAGGAAAACAAAACAGATGGATGTGATAGCCAGCATCCTGATTTCTCGTGACACCAGTCTGAGCTGCAGCCCTGAGATGAAACCACCCTATGAAGTTGCGCCTCTCCAGCCCCATCATCACTGACTCCCCAAAGTCAGCAATTAATCAGATCACCCGAATCCTACCTGAATTTGGGCACATATTTGGTCTCTCAAACCTCAGTTTAGGGTTCACCCTCACTGTGCACTGCAGGGTCAACATATGATGCCTTGAGACGCTCAGGTTTGGACCACCAAGAGCCAAAACAGCTCCAGACCCACAAGCACCTCCCAGCTTGCTCTGGGCTACAGTGCCCCAGGAGCGTTTTTGGAGGTTAAAAACCAGCTCTACCTGGTGCTTCCCCATCACCCAGGACAGCTCAGCCACCCTTCAACACGTTTTCCATCACTCCAGGCCTCCCAGGAGGGAAGGAGCCAGCACCCCCCGCACCTCTCAGCTTTTACTTCTTAAATAAAATCCATCCTGGCAAATACTTGCTGGGTGACATCAGCAGCAGGTGATTTATTGCATTCCCTCCAGGGGCCCAGGAGCGAGATTGCATTTGCTAATGCCTCTCCTTACGCCCCTGGCCCCGCTCCGCATCCCCCTCCACATCCCAGCCGATTGCTATCGATTCCCGCAGCTCCGAAGAGTTTCCGTCTAGACTTTTGCTGAGCAAACTCAATCAGACCTCACTAATAAGCATCTCTGGCCAGTAATTTTTTGGCGGATCAGGCCGGGAATAGCAGATGCACTTGGAAATGAAGTGCTGCGAAGGGCCTGGAGTCGCTCCGTGGTGCTGGGTGTTCATGGTGCTCAGCATCCTGCCTGCAGCGCCTGGAGCAAGGAGATACCCCTGGAGAGCAGCTCAGCTCCAGTACCCTGTAACTCCCTTGAAATACACATTCCAAGTGTCCCAGAGCCACCAGCACCATGTTCCTGCATGAGGGGGGAAAGAGTCAAGGCATGAAGCTGGCCGGCAGCAGGCAGCCCCTGTGCAGGGTGCCCTGCAGGAGACAGGGATGACAACCCAAATTTGACCCTAAAACCTCACCAGTGGATTCACCAGTGCTATGGGTTTGCCCCTCTCCAGCTCCAGCATCAATGACTCCCCAAAGTCACTAATTAATCAGATCACCCAAACCCTGCCTGAATTTAGGCACATATTTGGTCTCTCAAACCTCAGTTTAGGGTTCACCCTCACTGTGCACTGCAGGGTCAACATATGATGCCTTGAGACGCTCAGATTTGGACCACCAACATGTGTCCAGCGTGAAGAACACCCTCATGGCTGCACCCTGGCCACAAGCCACCCCCTGCAGTGTCCCCTGCCATCTCTTCAGCACCGGAGCCTGGAGCTGGGGGGCTGAGGGAGGGCTGCTGGCCCACCCCTGAGCCAGCAGTGCTTGCCCAGCGGCCAGGAGGCTGCGGACAACCTTGCCCTCAATCCCACCATCCCAAACTCTCCCACCAGGGCTCCCTGGAGGGAGAAAAGAGCCCAGAGCATGCCCGAGGAGGGTCCACGAGACCAATCCCATCTCCAGCGCTGCAATCCAGCTTTGCAAGTGATGTTTTCACAGGTGTGTGAGACACCTCCGAGAGCAGCACAGACAGCACATCCACGGGTGTGTTATTCTTCCAGTGAGATGCAGGAAATGGAGCCCCTGGGGTAAGGGTTGTCTTTTTTTCCCTTTATTTAGACAGCTTTTAAAGCAACTAAGGGAAGCAACTTAGACTGTTGTAGCCCTGCCTGACGATTTCTGCTCCTTAAGTCTAGATCTGCAGGGTGAAATATTTAAGACATGGCAGCCCCAGATGCCCACACTCAGCATTTTAAGGCCTTTCAGGCGATGCCATCCACTGCCTGGGCCCAGCCAGCACGCAGGGATGTGTTTTGATAGTGAAAACGGAAAGTTTGGTGTCTCATTCCTTCATTCCCACAACCAGGCTGGAGTTGGGATGACCTGGGAGCAGCGCTGGTACCCAGGCTGGGTCAGGGATGGGATGGAGGTTCCAGTGTCCCTCTCCACCCCTCCATGTCCCCAGTGCTGGAAGCCAGTATAAATAATAGCATTTTATATTAATTTAGGATGGTGCTTTCTCCACCGGCTGCACTCACCTGCACTGGTGAGGAGGCTGGGTCTGGGCTGTACCCTGGTGAGGAGAGGTGGAAGCTGCTGCAGCTCAGCACAGCAGGCCCTGAGGAATAGGAGGAGGAGGAGGAGGAGGAGGAGGAAGGATGCTCTCCTGAGCCACCCAGGAGCTCCGGGGAGGAGCTGAGCTCAGGATCAGCCCGCAGCCTCTAGGGGTAAGAAAAAGGGTTTCAAGACTCAGCTTTGAGATCCAAACCTCCTTTCCCATTCCTCCCCAGTGTCCCAGTATCCCAGCTCCTTTCTCTAACAGTCAAGCTCAGGACCTCACACTTCAGGGGCAGAACCTTTGATAGAAATAAAAATAAAATTTAAAAAAACCCCACAAAACCAAAAAGAAACAAAGAAAAAACTACACAACTAAACCAGCCACAACCACCCCAAAAACATTTATTTTAGACTTAGAGACACCCCCTAAGCACCCCTAGGGATTGCCCCTCCATAGCCCCACTTGCCTCAGAAAATAAAAGAGAGAACAAACCTATACTTAATTAATGAATTAAATTATTAATGAATTTTGTAACAGCCCAACCCTCCCTCCATCCTTTATAGGGAGCACTGCCCAGCTCCCAGCTGCCTCTGATGGGGACTGGCTGCTCCCAGTGCTTAGAAGGGTGAGGTAGAGGAGGGCAGGGAGATGGTGGGGAGCTTCATCCTTCCTGGACCACCCAGAGGTGAGGGGGATGCAGGTGGGCTGGAAGTTCTGCTCCTACAAGTGCTGTAAGGGCAAGATGTAGGTCTTATAGATGGTAGGACATGGCTGGACCATGCTGTGGTGGAAAGAACCAGGTGAACACCCCATAAAGGATCTCTTCCTACAGCTCTGAGCATGGCTTGACTGTAGGACTCTCTTTTCTGGCTTTGCTTGGGGGGCTGTGATCTCACCAAGACCCTGACAGCATTTTGAGCTTGTCCCAGCTTGCTCCTATTCCGGACAGAGAGGATCACAGGGCCATTTAGGTTGGAGAAGACCCTTGAGGTGAAGTCCCACCATTAACCCAGCTCTGTGGTGTTCACCACTAAGCCATGTCCCCAGGTGCCACACCTACATGTTTTTTGAACACTTCTGGGAATGGTGACTCCACCACTGCCCTGGGTAGCCTGTGCCAGTGAGGAAATTGGAAATTCAGGGGCAAACTGAGGCAGGGCTGTTCTGTGTCCCAAAGCCACCCCTCAAAGCCATGGAGACCTCTCCCTTTCTGCTTTTGCTCCAGCTGGAGCCTATGTGGGACCATCCAGCTACTCTATAGGGCCACATCCTGTCCTGAACAGCCCCGTTTGCTCTCTGGCCCCCCCAAATCTGGGCTCTCCTACCTCGGGGAAGTGGGCGTGGCCCTCGGCAGGCAGCGAGTGATAAGCGGACTCCGGTGTGCGGACTGAGCGGGGGGAGATTTCTACATCTGGGGATGCTGGGGCCGTGCCTGCTGCCTGCTCGTCCCCCTGGGAGCTGGGGGGGCGCGGTGGGGGCGCAGCCGGCGCGGGGGGTGCCCGGTGCTCGTGCAGGGACACGGTGAAGGCCAGGCGGCCACAGTGCATGGCCGGTTGCTCGCTGCCCACCCGCAGCAAAGCCACCACGGCGCTGTAGCGGTACCAGTCCTCGTTCCTCCTGGCAGAGAGCTTCAGCCGGGGCTGGTCGGGGCGGGGGTAGATGGCAAAGAAGGCTTCTCCCACCCGCCTGCCCCTCCTCGGTCTCTCTGCCCGCCCGGGGAAGCGCAGGGCCTCGATGTGGAGCCGCACGTCGTGGTTCTTGTCGTTCTTGCAGAAACCTGCCGGGAGGGAGGGGGAAGCCTTTCTTAGGAATGCTGGTGGTCCCAGGAGCATCTCCTGGGCTCCTCCCTCAGCAGCCCTGCTTAGCTCTGCTCTGTGAGCACTAGAAAATGGGTTATCCAGCCTGTATATGTCTAGATCTTGGGTGGGGGTGGTGGCCCCAAGCTGGACCTGCCCCGTCCATCCCATGAAACTCAGACAGTTTTGACTCCAGCTCACAGATTCGGTGGAAGTGTGAGTGTGGTACGGGGGGGGGGCCTGCAAGCCTGGGACGGGCTGTGCTTGCTCCACACCCGTGCTCCTGGGTCACCTCTCCTGCCAGGCGATCCCCCGTGGTGCCCGGCCCCTTACCTCTGGGCAGGGTGAAGGTGAATTTCCTCCTCTGGAAGGAGTAGATCCGGTTGAGGTGGCTCTGCTCGACGATGTCGGTGGTGCTGGTGCTGCTGCGGGCGGCGCTCCCGCCGTTGACTCGGAGCTGGATGCCGGCGCCGGAGCCCTGCAGCAGCGGGTTCTCCACCGTCAGCCTCAGGGCGTAGCAGCCCCGCCGGTTGAACTGGACACTCACCACCTCGAACTCAAAATCCAGGGTCTTCTCCTCGGCCTTCAGCCGGGAGCGCTGCAGGGCCAGGGGGATGTGAGGCTCCCCTGCCTTGCCCGCCATGGGCGCAGAGCAGGACCTGGGGATAAAGCCTCCTTGGAGCAGGGAGTTTGCAGGTCTCTTCCCTGGAGGAAGCCTTCCTGGCAGCCTGGGGCAGGTTTCTGAGCCAAGCCAGCTCTGATTCCGCTCTCCTCTCCAGCAGGGAAAATGCCTGGAGGTGCCCCTGGGTGTGTGTTGGACTCACATCTCCGCAGGCAGCTTTCAAAGGCAGCAAACAAGGAAAAGAAATCCCTGTCTCTGAAAAATCATCCTTCAGTGCCGTGGGGAGCTGCTGAGAGCTTTCCTACTCCTGTGCAACGGCAGGACAGACACTTTGAACTCCGGTTTGTTTGCTGGGAAACCAGGTAACTAGATGCAAAGTGGTGGCTGCCTTCCAGCAAACAGCCCAGAATATCCAGGGTGACGCTGAGTGATGTGACACACACACGTGTGTAGGCAGGGTGTGCATTGATGGCTCCTTGAGCCCTTTTCCTTGGGACACCCACCACAAAGGAGTGTGCTGGAGCCTCCAGGAGATGCGGGTGTTGAGGATGGTACAAGCTCTGACTGCTGCTCCCGTGTTTTGCTGGCCCTAATCCTGCTTCTCCTGCACCCATGGGTTGTTTTTGGATCTCCTCTGCTGGGATCAGGCAGCCAAGTTGGGATCTCAGTGCTGCAGGGAGGGCTGGGCGTGTCCCAGGAGTCAGGGTTGGGCTGCATTTTGGGGTGACCTGGGCCAGAGCTGCCTACAAGGGGGTTTTGGTCCATGGCTGCTTTTCCCAGCATTACATGGGCTGCTCTTTCCCACATTGGAGTGCGTGTTTCTGACTGGTGCAACCAGAGCTGAGCTCCCTTCCTGGTAAGCCTGCTGCTGAGCCAGCTGAGCACCCCAAGGTTAGTCCCACCATGGATATTTTGGGACTGACATGAAGGGGGTTGGTGGTCTGGGTTGGGCAGGAGCTGGAAGCTCAGTCTGATCCTCACCAGGAGCACCCTGTCATATCCCCTTCCCCCATTACCCCTGAGAATAGCACGTTCCCACAGTTTTCGGGATGTTTCCAGTGAAACGTGAGCCGGAGCTGGGCTAGCAGGTGGCCCTTCTCTAAGACAGCTCCATACTCCATATAGGAAACCACATTCCAAGCTCTTCACGCTGGTGCAGGCTTGAAACAACAAGATTATCCTTGAGGGGAGCGGGCAGGGGGACAAAACAGCATCTGGGACCCTGCGGCATAAGATTTTTGGTGGGTTTTTTTCTTGCCCCCTAGTATGGGAGCAGCCCAGGCACCTGCAGGGCATCCAGCCAAAACCTGCACCAAAATGCTTGCCTCCAAGAATCCCTTTGGCTACGTGCATGGGCCATGGATGGAGCTCAGAAATAAATCCTGTTCTCCCACAGCTCCCTGGAAGCATCAGTTGTGTGTCCTGGACCTTCCTCAGTTTCTCTTTGGGGAACAAAGACATAGGCTGATGTCCCACCTGGAGGAATTATCCTGAATGTGATCTTGGTTGATGGATTTAACCTCCCACTGTGGTGAAGATGTCAGGATGAGGATGCTGTGGAGATCAGGATGAAGACAGAAGGCAAATGGATCATAATTCAGGGGCTTGGGGCACTGGGTTGAAGTAGAAGAAAAAGGTTCTGTGAGTGCTGCAGAGCTTGAGCTGGTGAAATAAGGAGCCTGTTAGGAAGAGTGCCAATATCTCCAGGGACATGCTGATGGGTGGATTGCTTATTTGGGAGGGCTGACCACATAAATGGTTTTAGCAATGCTGGAGGAATTGGTGGCTCTTTCCCCTCATGGGTGGAGGCATGGTGCTCCCAAAGCAGAGCTGTGCTGGAGAAGGTGGTTTTTCCCAAGATCCCAGGGATGGCTTGAATTGAGTGTGTGATGCTACTCTGAGCTGTTCCACCTACAAATTCCTAGTAATTTGGGCTGCTGACCTCTTCTGAAGGTGTATCCATGTGCAGCTGGGACATGCCCCAGCCCCCCTTGTATCCCATGCCACTGAGCTGGGCTCTGCTTACCTGGGACTCAGCTGAAGGAAGAATCCCAGAGACAAAACTGGTGCCCATGGGAAGGATCACACCCTGGTTATCAGCTCCCAAATAATCCTGAAAGTTTCCTTTGCCTCAATTAAAGCCCTGCCAGGTTCTAACACGGGGAAATGGGAGCTATTTCATCCTTAACTAGCCTGCTTAATTTCCTCCCTGCCCTTGTGCAAACACATTACAGAGCCATCGCTAATGACAACATCATCAAAGACTAATTTTCCCGTAATCTAATCTAAGGCACAGCTCATTCCTGCAGAGTTTTCCGGGCTGTACCAGAGGCGCACGTGCAGCACGTCAGGAGGTGCCACCCCCATTGTGTTAATGGGGCATTCCCGGGGCTGAGACCCTCTTTTTTCCCCCCCAGGAAGGTGAATAGCAGTTTCCAGAGCTTTGTTGGGTATGAGGCTGATTCACAGGGTTGTGTGAGGTCTGTCTTGGCAGCCTGTGGGTCTTTGTTCTGTGGAATGAAAAGGTCTCTGATGGCTGGAGCTCTGCCGGCATAACGAGCTCAAGGTTTGGGTCGGAAAGCTGGGTGTTCTGGCCACAGGTGTGTTTGGGCTGTCCTTAGCTCTGTTTCTCCATGTGAAATTCCCTTTCCTGAGGGAAAGATCCCCATTAACAGAGTCGGGTTCTGCCTGGATCTCGATGCTGCAGCTCCTCACCCAGTGTTACAAAATAAAACAGGCTCAGGACGTCAGTGCACACAAGGAGAGGACATTTCTCCAGAGACCAAAAAAAAGGGATTTCCTCATCCCTGGAAGTGTTCAAGTTGAGGTTGGATGGGTCTTGGAGCAACCTGGTCTGGTGGAAGGTGTCCCTGCCCGGGGCAGGGGGTGGAACAAGATGGGCTTTGAGGTCCCTTCCAACCCAAACCATTCCATGATTTTATGATTTGGAGGAGACCTTATCATGTGGGGCAGAAGTTAAGGATGCCCACAGTGAGGGGCCAGTGGTGTTGGAGGGGCTCTGCATCCTCCAGCTGCTGCACAGAACTGGGAGAGGTGTGAGAAGCAGGAAAACCATCCCACCTCCATGCTTATCCAGCACAAACTGCACCCTTTGGGATGCCGTTGATCTCCTGACAACCCTGACATCCTAGGCTTGTGGCTGGTTTCTCGACAGCCATTTCTGAATTGAAAATGCAAAACTCCTGGAATACCAACTCTTTGTGGGGTATTAGAGTGCCTCGAGGTGTTTTGGTAGCTCCAAAGCCCTTCCAGGGCTGGTGTGCATCTGTGTAATGGTCACTTCATGAAGATCAGGATGGGTGTTGCTGGCATACTTTTGTCTAGGAGGGGGCAAAACCCCCTGTGACTCTGAATTTCAGCCCCTTCCCTCCCTACTAGCCATTTTCCCGGTCTCTCAGCTTTCCCAGGAAGCAGCTTTGGGATCCAACAGCAGTGTTTCTTACTTAAAAACAATCCCAGGGAAAGGGGAAAAAAAAAAAACAACAAACCCTCAGGTCATTTTGTTTAGCGTTGCCACAAGGTTTTGGCTAAAAATTAAGCTAAATCTTCAACCCTAATTAGTTTTCCTTTGCTTTGCTTGCTGTCACATGTGGTCTGTGTGTGTATTTGTCCAGATTATATTTTTTTCCTGAGCTGGTGTCTCCTGCACTGTGTGGGATGGGTGTGCTGGCCAAGGGGCAGGTGGATGAGAACAGTGCTAAAGCTTCCTGTTATTCCCAGCTGCTCCCACCTGCCCCTGGGGCAAAGCATCCCCAGTTCTTACCCCAAAATGTTTTGCATCCCTCTCCCGCTGCTGTGGGACCGTCACTCTGCACCCTTGGCACTTTCTGTGCAAGCCCTGAGCAGGATCCGGCCATGTCCAAGGTGTTGGTGTCCCCAAACCAGGGATGCTTTGTCCCCAGGGATGTTTGTCCCCAAGCCTGCCCCCACCAAAACTTTCCTTCCCCGTTCCCAGCTGTGCTGGGTGAGGGGAAAAACCAAATAAAGCTGCAAGATTTGGGTGAAGGATTGGGCTGATTTACACCAGTCAGGAGCTGGCCCTTTGTTTTATCCTGGGAGGAAGGAGAGACGTTTGCATCCCGAAGTGGGGATGCAGCAGCATCTGTATCCCCGGGTTTCCCCCTAAATTTCAGCGTGGAGGGAGCAGTTAAACCCCAGCTGAGCCGGCGGAGCGCTGTGGAAGAAGGGGGCTGGCTCAAGCTGCCTCCTCTCCCGAAAAGCTCTGCTGAATCAAAGGGGAGAGCGGAGCACGGGGTTGGTTGCTTTTAATTTTCTAAACCCCAGGGTGGCCCCCAGCCAAGGCCTCCTGGCGATGGAGGGGATAAAGTTCCCCGAGCCACGGCGAGCCTCCGTTCACTCGCCAGTGCTCTGAACTTTGCGTTTAGGTTTGCATGGCTGCATCCACGCCGGACCCCCGCCGGCCAGTGCTTTAGGCCCCGCTTAGCAAGGCCCCGCTTCTCCAGAGCCCCCTGCCCAGCTGAGCCGCTAGGTGCCTTCCAAGGAGGTGGCCGACTGGAAGAAGGTAACTTTTGTTTTGGTCTCTTTTCCTCTTTTCCCACCCCTTTTTATTTTTTTTTTTGTTGTTGTTGTTTCTTCTTCAGACTTGGCGTGGTGGGGGGGAAGCTGGGTTCAAACTGCGGAACTGATTGCTCCAGGTTGTAAAGGCGACTCCTGTTTGCTTAGGGAGGGGCAAATCCTGCTCTGGGGGGTGCAGAACCCCCCTCCCCAAATCCCAGCTCTGCCCTTCAGCAGGGTTTCACCTCCAGCTTTGCTTTTCCTGGGGGATGCTCCTTCCCCCAGTGCCACAGGAGCAGAGGTTGTAGGGTGCTCTGCCTTGGATTCCCCCAGCACTGCTTCCCACACCGATGGATGGCTGTGTCAGCAGATTTTGCTGTGATCCTGCAAACTTTTCCCCTTTCCTGGCTCCTGGGGGTTGTGAGCAGCAGGTGCTGCTGCCTTTGCTTTGAAACGAAGAACCAAGAACGGGGGGCAGGAGCCTAAAAATAATCTTATAGAGCCTCCTTGGCTTAAATGTTTAAGCTGTCTTTGCTTTTAAAATGCAAAAAAAGGCGCTTTTTTCTTGCCTTTCTGGTGAGTTTGTTTATGATCTCTGCAGTGGATTTATTATCTGCAAGCTCCAGCTCTGCAAAGGGAAGGGGTTTGTGAAGCGCTGGAGCAGCTCCACGGCTCTCTCCGGGTGGTGGAAGTCGAGGTGCTGGAGGGATTTAGAGGGGACAGGGGGGCGGAGGAGCCGGAGGCGGGGTGGGGGGAGTGGGGACGGGACTTGGATCAGCTGAGAACCAGCCGGAGCTGGGAGGAGGGAGGAAAATGTCACAATGGGATGAAACACTTCCTCCGGACCCTTCCCTGCCCCCGGGGCTTTCCCAATGGGATAAGGAGAGCTGTGGGCGAGTTCACCACATATCCACTCGTCAGTGCAATGAGTTCAGCGTTCTCAGTCCCCTGGGGCTGTGCCTGTCCCCGGGTGGGAGGGGGTGGGGGGGAGGGAAGGGTGGAGAGCGGCTTCCCGGAGGCCCCAGCATCCAGGAGGGTCCAGGGTGTGTGTGGGCTCCTTGTCACTTGTGTTTGGAGAACTTGGAGACAGCTCCACTTTTCCAGAGAGTCTTCAAAAAGCAAGGGCTGGCTGGGGCATCTTTGATGCTTGGAGGATTCCAGAGTCACTGGTGGAGGGAAAAAATGGGACCAGCTGTCCCCTTGTCCCTCCCTGAGCTGAGTAAAAGTGGCTGCAAACCAACCTTTCCCATCTCGTTTTTGGGACTGGAACACTGAGTTTAGTGGAGTTTGGGGCTGGGGTTGGCTGGCTTGGTTTGTGCCAGTGACAGATCAGGTTTTACCTTTCCAAGCATCATCTGCAGCTGCTAAATCCACCTTCGGGAAGCCCGTCCTCTTTTTTGAAGTTCTCCAAAGCCATCCCTGTGCCACCCAGCTTTGCAGGTCCCAGCGCGGTTCCTGGATGGCAATTGAATTAGAGGAGGTCTTGCTTAAACAGCCCCCCCCTTCTTCCCCCGGCCCAAGGGCTCCCTGAGCAATTGTGAAATGAGATCTTTATCATTTTTATTAAAAGCTGTACACAAGGCATCATCATTAGGCTGGATGGGAGGAGGGAAGAGGGGTAATTCCCTTATGGCTCCCTTCTTCCCCTCCCAGTTTAATTCATAGTGGTGGGATGCAAAAGCTCCCCAGAGAGTGATGGATAGTGGGAAATGAAGAATATGAAGGAGCTTTATTGAGCCCATCAATCTCGGGCGAGGCTGCTGCGATCAAAGGCCCAGCCTGTTTCGGCAGGGGTTACGGAGAGGAGCAAAGAGATCAGGTTTCGGGGAAACCCGGGGCATGGGGGGGCTGCAAAGCCAGCGAGCTCCTGGCTCAGCCCCGGCCGGAGGAGCCGGCGCCCGCCGAGCTGGGTGGAGAGCCGGGGCCCTGCCCTGGCTGGGGATGCTGATCCTGCTGAGCTTTTGGCACACCTGCCCCTCTCCTGGGACACCGGGATTTGCAGCCCAAGCAGGAATCACAGGATGGTTTGGGTTGGAATGGATCTTAAGGGTCATCTAGTCCAACCCCCTGCCGTGGGCAGGGACACCTTCCACTATCCCACATTGCTCCAAGCCCCGTCCAACCTGGCCTTGGACACTTCCAGAGATGGGGCAGCCACAGCTTCTCTGGGCAATTTGTGTCAGTAAAGAGGGAGTTAACACTTCCCTGTTCCATGTGAGGCTGAAAGCCCTCATGGAATGCTTCTCCCCAGCCAAAATGCCTGCCCACAGTGAGGTCTCCCCTCCAGCACCTGGCAATAAGAGACCCCCTGGTGTCCGGGCTTGGATATCCCTGTGTGTCCCTGTGTCACACCATCATTGGCTGATGGTGTCCAGTAGACAGGTTGGAGGCTCTGAAGCACCTCCTGGTTTCTCCAGACCTTTCACAAATGGTGACCAAGATGCTGCCACCCTGCTTGGTAGACCACAAAAGGAGACCATCTCCTGGAACAGGACAGCACCCATCTCGTGAGGATCAGTGGGCAGGACTGGAGGACTTTAAGATCACCTGGTGCAGGGACACTGTTGACTCATCTTGGTCCCAAACCCAGACAGGAATGGGCAGCAGAGCCCTGAGATCCAGGTGTGTGTGATACTCCAAGCAGGATGTTTTGGAAGGGGACATGACACACAACCCAAGGAGATTGTCAGTTCAGTCTTGAGATACTGCTGCCTGCCTACTGAGAGTTGTGTGCACCAGGCGTCTCATGGAGCCTTTTTCTCCATCCCTTCCTGCTTTTCTCTGGCCTCCATGTCCCCAAGTGGCTGCAAATCCAGGCACTGGCAAGGTGGCATCAGTGGTGGATCACAGTGATAATGCTGCCTGGCTGGGCAGGTAGGAAGGTGCATCTTGTCCTTGCTCATTGTCCTTTTTTGGGTGATGCCAGGGGGAGGAGATGGGGGTACAAACAACCCCAGGGTGGCTTTTGGAGCTGATTCTTTAGCCTGATGCTGCATTCTCAAGATGCTGTCCCATTCCAAGGCTGGCATGTCTTACTTTACTTGTCCAAATCCCATCCCCAGCTTCCAAACCCTGCCAGCCTTTGGTGACCCCACAGGAGGGGAATGGGGCTTCCAGACCTGTGTGTGCACTGCTGTGAACTTTACAGGCTCCTTCTACCTTTTTACGGAGTGCTGCATTCCTGGGAGGTGAGGTCAGAGCTGCTTCCCTGCACAGGCGAAACCAAGGGAAGGCTGGAGAGTCGATTCCTTGAGGCTGGAACACTCGGGGTCAAGGATGGGGGCTGGGATCCATCTGAGTTGGATGCTTCCATGGGACGGTGGTGGCACCTGGATTTGCAGCAAAAGGTGGAGTGGGAGGATCTTCTTTCTGGCTGAGTTTTGGTGCTCTGGGAAGGGAGGTGAAGATCCCATCCTGACATAGAGGGAGCCCCTGGAGAACCTGGCTGGGTATGTGATGTCCATCCAGCCATGGTGAGGAGGTGACAAATGCCACTTGTCTATCCAGAGCCAGGGCTGCCTGCAGGGCTGCAACCCTGATCTGGGGAATCTCTTTGAAGCTGTGCTGGATCCATCACAGTCTGTGGTGAACACCAGCTGTACAAACAACAGCCCAGAGCAAATCTGCTGGCTCAGTCATCCATCTCCCGACCCATCCTGCCGAGGAGCCCTGTGGGAGTTCGGTGACATCCCCGAGCTGTGGGATGGGGTGTCCCAAGGTCCTGGGCTGTTCCCAGGGCTTGAAGGCTGCACCAAGCATCGCTGCCTGGCATTTGGAGACATCTTTGGGCACTGCCTCTCTGACAGCAGTGGTAAATTGAGGCATGTTGCAGCTTGTGCGGTGTAGCTCTGGGACAGCAGTGGAGGGTGTGGGGCTGTCCTGGCCAAAATCATCAAAAAATAATTGGGAGAAGGAGAAATGAGAACCTGTTGGGTCTGGCACCACGGCAAATCCTCTTTCCTTTTTATTGCTGCAAAGGGAGAGGGGCTGGGGGGAGGCTGAATGTCATGTGGAGCATCTGGTGGCACGGAGGGACACTGGGGACACAGATCCTGCAGTTCCCCAGCCGTGGTGAGATCTCATTCCCCTTTCATCAGCCGAGCCCAAAACTTGACCCTTGCACTGGTTTTCAAGTCGTTGGCGTAAAAACTGTTAAACAACCCAAACAAAGGCTCCAAGTCTATCAGCGTCCCGCGGCGGGCGGGGAGCGGCCGCGATGATTAGGTGTGCCCCGAGCACTCGGGATGTGCGGCGGGGGAGGGAGTTCATCCCTTAGCCCTCCTCTGAGTCCAGATAAAAGCTGGATCCTTGGGGGCGCAGCTGGATTTTGAAAGCTCCCGGTTCCTCCCCCGGCTGCGGGAGTGACCCAAGAAGATAAAGCCCCTTGGCTCGACGCCTCCATCCTGCATTTCCAAGCGCCCAGGAGGGCCCACCTTGAGCAAACCCTGTCACCTTCTGCCTCTGCTGCCTCTCACCATCTCTCTGCAGCCCACGGAGGGAGGAAGGAGACGGCCATGGCAGCCAACGGCTCCGGTGGGATGCACGATGCTCTCCTGGACAGCAGCCTCCTCAGCGATGACGACCTCGTTTCCAACTGGTACATCTACGAAACCATGGAGCCGGCCGTGCCACAGGATGAGTAAGTGTCCAGCCCCACTGGCAGGTGCCACGTGTCCCTGTGTCCCCGCTGGGACAGGGCAACCTCCTCCCAGCTGCTCTATCCCCTTTCCACAGAGCAATATTCCCACAGCAGCAGGGCCAGGATTTGTGCCCGGGTGAGTTGATTTAAGAGGCTCCTTTTGGCCCCTTAAATTGCTTCATTTCTTTCAAGTACCCCTGGCAAAGTCTGGAGTAAATCCTGCGGAGGGAATCTCTGCTGGTTACCCTCCCTTTTCATCAACCTTCCCCAAAATTCAAAGTGCATGGGGTTCACCTGCTGCCCTGACCCTCTTGAAGCTCCCAGAGACTTTTCTGGCTGCTCCTGACTCCCAGAATCATCTGGGTTTGGAGCCATCCTCATGACACAGCCTTAATCCCATCCCAGTTCTCTGCCAGCATCCATGCAGATTTTGGCTGGGAGTGAAGAGAGTTGGCAGCACAGCCCAATCTACTTGGACGCTCCAACAGGTTCCTGCAAGGCACAGTGACCCTGAATAGGTTTTCCTACCTCCAAAATAGGGCTGAGCATCTCTGGGCTTGTGTGGATGTCCTCTCCCTCTCCCTTTGAATTAGCGTATCCATGGGTTTGGTAAAGCCTATTCCCTCCCCATCCATGATGACCCACTATGTTAACTCTGTGTATTCCAAAGGGCAGTGCTATGTTTCCTGCAGGGATGGGACCCCAGGGCCCAACCTTGCAGTGAAGACCCAGGACTTTGTGCCCTTCTCAAGGACAAGGGAACTCCCGAAGGGAGGGGAAACTGAGGCATGGAGCAGCAGGGCAATTTATCCAACATGTCCCCAAGGCTCAAAGCCAGGCATCCCAAGGCCCATCTATCGGGATCTATTGTCCCTCTGTTGACTTAGTCCTCCACGGGTGGGTCCACCCCTCAAATCACTGATACCTAATCCTGAGGATAACCAGGAGGGTATCCCAGCAGTGACCAGCCCAAAAGGTTCCTTCTCATCCCTTATCCTTCTCATTGTTAAACAGCCTTTGAAATCTCCTTGCCCAGCCTTGGTTTCCCCAGGGGAAGCCCCACCTGTGTGGCCTCCACCTTCACTAGAATCTTTCTAGGGATATTTTTGGGGTGTCCCCTAAACCGTGGTCAGCAAAGGGATGGAGGCAGTGCTGGGGAATTTGCCCACCTGATGGCTTCTGGATGCTCTGGATTTTGATGCTGAAGCCTTGGTGATATCAAAAAGGTGTTTGGTGTCCCTGTGCTCTCAATCGTGCTAGGTGGATTTCCTAAGCCTGGATATTTTTGGATAGTGGGAATTTTCTGGTCTATCCAAGGCCAGTCACTGGCAGCTGGTCCTATAAAGCCTTTTTTCTGGCAGGTTGGTGACAGCCTTGGACATATGATGCCTGGAAAATCCCAATTTCTCTATCAGACCCTTCCTTGCAGGCTTGCTCATGGGAGCTCCCATCTCTGCCCATCCCATTGGAGCTGTGGGGTCTGGGAGGGCAGAAGGGTTTGGGAGGGGTCCTTCCCCGTAAGTTATGGGGTTCAGGAGGTTCCCACATGCGAGTTATGAGGCTTAGGGGGGGCTCAGCTCTTCAGCACAGGATCTGCTGCCCGGTGTTAGGTGAGAGTGTCTGGGCACACTCATGCCTGGCCTTGGGGAGAGGAGGAGGGCTGTGCCAAAGCAGAGATTAAGGGATGTAACAGAGGCCAGGGAATCAATAAATAAAACCACGTCTGCTCTGCTGGCCTTGGCTGAGGGGGTGAAGCTCTGGGACCCCAGGCAGCCATCTCCTCCATCATCCCAAGCTGTGGGACGGGTCCCTTTCCCATGGGAAAAGCATCAAAGCATCCTACAAGCAGCCTCCCAGCTGGAGTGCAGTGCCTTAGGTAGGAAGAAGTGCTGCATTCCCTGAGAAGCCAGAGGCAGAAGGGATATGGGTGTAAAAGAGGCGAAGGCAGGGTTTCATCCTGGTATGTGCAGGAGATCACCCAGTCCCTCTGGGGCTCAACTGAGGGCCATTGCTGGGGGTTATCTCTCCCTCTTGGTCATAAAATCACCTCATGAGGGTGACTTCATCCCTGGTTACTGAGGGCTGTGTAACCCAGCACTCGGGAGGTTTATTCCAGACGGACATGCTGTGTATGTGACCGTCACCCCAGCACCTTTGCTTTTTGCTTTTGGGGCTAAAAACAACCACAGATGATTTTTCCCCTGCTCTTTCTAGCATGTTTCCTGGCGTAATCCCAGACTGTGACCCCACTGTTTCTCCCAGGATGTATCACATCTGCATGGCACCCATCTCTGTAAGTACCTGAGCAGTACCATGGGGTGAGTTATCTGCCCCAACATCCTGTTTGCTGTCCCCCAGTTTGTGTCATGCCCTCCCAAATATCACGACTGAGCTCTGCAGCTGGAGCTAGGATGCTCTTGGACAGGACTCACACCTCTCTCCAGACCTTTTTCTGTGCCTGTAGTCAATGGAAGGCTTTGATTTATGGTTGGACTTCATGATATTGGGTGTCTTTTCCAATCCAAATCATTCCATAGTTGTATGATTCCCTTTTATTTTTTTCCCAGTATGTTCCCTCTGCGACATTTAAAGCCTCTAAACTCCTCCAAGCAGGTTGAGAAGTGCCTGTCCCTGCCTCAGCCAAGGGTGGGTTTAGGGTGAAGGGTGGAAATGGTGTCTCCATGGAGGCTTCCATCACACAGTGCCATGCCCCAGACTTCCCCTCCACGTATTTTCTGCTCCCTTGGTTGTGTTTCTGGCAGCTGGCCGTGCTCCTGGGCTTGTCCTTGCTGGTGAAGCGCAGGCGTCTCCACCAGAGCTGCTGGAACGGTGTCCCAGGACTGCTCAGGTACCTTGGCCCTGCGCCCCAGCCCTCAGGGTCCCTGCTACCGTGCAGCCAAAGGGGTGGTGGGAGGAGATAAACCAGCTTGGAGGGGGGGACAGAGTGCCCACAATCTGGTGTCAGGCTCATTCCTTCCTTGGCTTGCAGCCCAGCCAACTTTCTGGAAGAGGAAGGCAACCAAGGGCTGGTGGCCGCGGTGTTTGGCATCCTCTTCTCCTCCCTGTGCGTGCTGGTCTTGGACAGGGACCCTCTGCCACTCATCTCCCACTCCTCCCAGAGCAGCCGGGGTAAGGCCAGCACCCTCCTGGCCCGTGGGCACCGCACCCCTCCTCACCCAAGCCCAGGGGACACCCTGAGCACCGTTCACTCTGGTCTGTACTGACAGCGCTGCCTTCTCTCGCATGTTTTGCTCTCCCTTCCCTCTTCCCATCATCCCACCATCTAGAGTACTGGAAGATCATGGCTTTGCTCTACTACCCAGCCTTCTACTACCCCCTGATCGCCTGTGCCACCGTCCGGCACAGGCTCAGCTACCTCGTGGGCTGCCTGCTCTCCTGGTGCCACTGCGCGGTCCACATCTGGCAGAAGGTGGATTGTCCCCAGTCACCAAAGGTGTGTGTCCCACCTCCTGGAGAAGGAGCAGAGAGGTGGCCAAAGCCTGGAGGTGGCTTTCTCACAACCTCCTGGAAGTGACACCGTGGTGTCACCTGCCCAGGGTGGGATCCCTGGGCTGGGGTGGTGCCGTGTGACGTCTGTGCTTCCCCCCAGATATACAGGTACTACTCCACACTCTCATACGTCCCCATCATCCTCTGCCTCGTCCTCTTAAGCCTTTGGTATCCAGCCCTGCTCATCAGGAGCTTCACTGTCCAGGAGGAGGCCTTGGATAAGGAGGTAACGAAGATCCACAGGGAAACTCAGGGAGAACCCCTGGAGGGACCAACATGGTTTTGGGGACTTTCCTGCCCCACTGCCTTGGGGATCAGGAGGTCTGGGGTGCTCCCAGTGCACGTGTTCCCCACTTTGCTCAGGCACTGGAAGTGACTCTGTTTATATCACTGGATTTGAAGAGGGAGTGAAAAATCCATCTTTGGAGTAAACTCCTTAGTACAAGAGGCTTAAGGCATCAATGCCTCCCCTTCAGGCTGGGACTGGGGTTGCCTTGTTTTCCCAGCAGGCTGGATAATCCCTGGCCCTTTGAGAAATGCTGGGGCTTTGTTGGGAAGAGAGGAGGAAAAACCTACTTCAAAACAAAGAAAAAAGCCAGCCCAAGTGTGGACTGAAGTGACCCCCAGGCACTTAACTGGGAGCTGGCTGATGGGCAGGAGAGATTTCAGCCGTCCTACCGGTGTGTCTGGTTTTTTTGGGCTGCTTTGTTGGTGAGAACAAGGCAGGTTTGTTTCCACCTTTGCTGCACCAGAAGATTTGCTGCCCGTGTCGTTCCAACACATTCCTTATCAAAACGAGGGCTGGAAAGCCATCACCTGCATCTCATACAGAGATGCCAGTGATGGCTGGGTGGCCAGGGGTAGTAGAGCAAGGAGATGGATGCTAGAGGGGATGCAGATGCTCTGCCCCCCACCCAGATCAGAGTTCCTATGCTGAAATCAGGCAACTTATGGCTGCTTTCCTTAAGGTTACAGGGACAGGGTATTACAAGAAGTACCTAAAGGCTGTCCTATCCAAACGCCCTCGGAAGGGAAGGTAAGGATGGCACCTTCCCATGGCACTGCCTGTTCAGCGAGCACCTGTGCCAGCCCTGCAGTGGGACAGAGAGGCTCCCTGTCCCAAAGGACGTGCTCTTCACCCTGTCCTTCCCCCCCCAGCTCCACGAAGATAGAAGAGAGCCTGCTCTCAAGGATCCAGACGTATTTATGCTCCTACATCTACACTCCTGAGGAAGGTGGGCTGGGGGCTGCTCTCCTGGCCACAGCAGCAGCTCAGCAGACAGGCTGCCTGCCCTTCCCCAGGGACAGCAAATGCCTTTCTTGGCTCCTGCCCTGAAGCATCTGTGCCACGGCAGCTGCCACGCACCACACGTGCGATGCCTTGGCTCAGCACAAACCGTTTGGGGTGGGGACATGGACCCCTCACACCCCCTGGGGACGTGGGTGGGCTGAGGCAGTGAGGTTCAGGCATGGATTGTGCCAATAGCACAGAATCATGGAATGATTTGGGTTGGAAGGGACCTCAAAGACCGTCCAGTCCTGGATGGGCAGGGTTGGGCAGGGACATCTTCCACTATCCCAGGTTGCTCCAAGTCCTGTCCAACCTGGCCTTGGACACTTCCAGGGGTGGGGCAACCTGTGCCAGGTCCTCACCATCCTCACAGGGAAGAATGTAAATGGCCTGGTTCTTGATAATGCTGTGACAAGGGAATAAAATCAGCAATAAGTGGATTAAATCCCTAATAGAGCAGGAATGGGGAGCTGTGCCTTGCTGTCTCTCCTATGGAAGAAGCAGAGAGTGTCCCAGGAGGTGCCAACCCAGGGACCATGGCACCCAGCTGCTGGCATTTGGCGCTGTGGGCACAAAAGTTTTCATGGAAAAGGAGGATGGACCCATACAGCCAAAGTACAGGGAAGCCACTGCCAGCTATGTATCCACACAGGAAATCCAGACTAATATTAACCATCCTGTTTCAGTGCTTTCCCTGGGGTGTTTGCTTTGGCCACTGGGTTGGGTGGACCTGCAGCCTTCTCCCTTCTTCCCCCATGATCCCACATCCTGGCTCCTGTCTGATTCTGCCTTACAGGTTTCCGGATCCCCCTGAAGCTCGTCGTGTCCATAACCATGGCTGTGATCGCCGTCTACCAGGTGATGCTGGTGATTAAATGCCAAGCAGAGCCCCTTTCTTCCCTGCCTCCTGGCCATGTCCTCTCGAGGCAGAGGAGCCCAGAGGTCGCTGCCATGCCACAGTTTTGGCTATGGGAATAGTATTAACGTGCCTCAAGGAATTACCATCCCCTGGCTGAGCCGCAGCAACCGGCCATGTGCTTCCAGGGCTCAGCCAGCCCTAAGTCTTTAAGCCAAGGTGATGGCTCGGCAGGGGGATGCCGTGACCCGGGGCTCACGTGTCACCGCTCCTTCACAGGTCGCCCTGCTGCTCCTGGTATCCTTCGTTCCCACCATCCAGATCGTGCGGGCGGGAATGACGAAGGACGTCGTGGTGTTGTTGGTCCAGTTTGGCTTGGTGCCCTCAGACAACCCAGCTGTCCCAGGGGACATGGAGAAGGAGCTCAACATTGTCAAGCACTACCTGTGGTCGCTGGAAGGTGGGTTCCCAAGCCAGGCCCCGCATCCATAGGTGCTTTCTGGAGGATTTCAGAACTTACCGGAGGGGTTCCTGATCCAGAGGGTGGGCGGTGACAAGGCAGCTTCCAGAGGGACTTCAGAGCCAGCTGCCAGAGCCACAGACATGAAAGGTGGTGGTGTGAGCCTGGTGCTGTGCCAGCTCTGAGCAGCCACTGCGTGCCAAGGCGGGCAGAGCCGGCAGGGAGAGCCAGCAGGGCCGCACTGCAGATGCTGCCCCTCGGCTGCAGGCTTTGATATGTGCTGGAATCGAGCAGATGGCCCCCGGCCCCCTGGATAATTGAAAGCCTGGAATGGGGGTAGCAGGGGATGCCCCTCCCTCCATGGCACTACCTTGGGGTACCACCAACCGCAGGAACGCTTTTTATTCTTCCTGAATCACCAAGCCTCTCTCATCATGGTTTTTTTTTCCCCCCTGACATCTCCATCCCTCCTACCAGACTTCCTTGCCCCCTGTTGCTTTCCTCCCAGCGTCCACTTTTCTGAGAGCACCTTCCCAGGCTCTCTCCATCACACCACCTGCTTATCACAGCTTGCTCCAATGCCTTTTCCTGCGCTGGGCCAGCCTAACTGCTTGGATTTCCCTTGACAGCTTGTCTTTCCCTTTCCCTGTCTCATCACTTCACACGTGGGAGATGGAGATCCCTGTATTGCGATGGAGGGAGGGAGGGAGGACACTGAGGCATGGTGCCATGCAACCCCATAACTCAGTTTGCTCCTTAGATGCCTTTTCCAGTAAAATCCCATTCCTGGGGCTGGCCATAGGCTGGCTGATCCAGCCTTTCCCTCTGCCCCTCTGCAGTGTGCTACATCTGCTCGCTGGTGCTGTGCTGCCTCCTGACCTGCGCCATGCTCCTGAGGACGCTGGTGATGCACAGGTACGGATGGCATCTCCCTGCTCCCTCGGCTTTGCCCTTGCCACCGAGCTGGGATGCAGCTGGACTCTCTCCCCAGGAATAACCTGAAGGCCCTTTACCAAGGGGCTGTGCTGGACGTGTTCTACAAAGCCCACATCCTCCGCCCGTCCCGACAAGCCGTTGTCTGCTGGATGAGCTTCGCCGGCTTCCAGGCAGCTTTCGCCTGCTTGGGTAAAGGATATTGGGGGCAGAAGGGGTTGGATGGGTGGTGGATCCCCACCTTGAACGTTCTACCCTCTCTTCCCCCTTTCTCACCCCATTTTGCAGAGGGATGGCTGTGAGGCTTTTGTTCCCCTTTCCCCAAACACAATCTGTCCTTCTGCGGGAAGGACCATGCTGAACACCAAATGGTCAGGAATTAAAATAGGAGCGGGTGGGGGGGGGGGCAGGGTGTGTGATGATGATTCATTTTGGCTCAAGCCCAAATATTTTGATTCGAGAAGCTGTCGCAGAATCTCGTGCAAAGGACTGTCTGTCTCCCCTGGTCCTGATCATTCTGGGTGTTCCTCGCTGTGCATCTTCCCTGTCACAGCCTGCATGTCCCTGCCTGGGAGGGAGAGGCCACCCCAGGGAGGGGTGGAGGACGTCAAACAGGGTGTAAATCTTTACCCCATCACGGTTTGGAGACATTTTAAGGCCTCTCTGCCCCCTGGGAGGTGACTCTGGTCATTGTCTGCCAACAACCAACTGTATCAGCACCCCGAGGTCATGCAGGGGAGTCAGGCTGAGGGTCCAGAGGCATGATGGAAGGACAGGAGTGACCATCCCTTGGGAAAGCAGACCTGTTTTGCAGGCAGACTGCAGAGCTTAGTGTGGAGTTGGGAGCTGGGGAGCCCCCCAGGAGCTCCTTGCACCAGCTTTCCACAAGCCACCCAGCACTTGGTGTATCCCTGACAGAGCTGGATCTCACCTCCTTCTTAAAACTCTTGGATTTCAAGTGATTAAAGTAAAGCAGGGGCGGTGAAGCATCAGCTTGAGCACAAGGAACCACAGTCGCTGCTGATCTTGGTGTGATTTATGATTAGAAATCAGAGCTCAGGCTGGATTTTATGATGAGATATCATAGTTGCGGCCCCGAGTGATGGCTCTTCTCAGCGGGGATAATGTGGGGAGTGATAAGAAAGACTGAACTTGTAATTAAATCCTGTGCAAAGCATCGTGTTCGGAGTGGGGGAGGCAGGTGAGGATCTCACGGGCGTTTTATGGGATTAAAATGAACAGCATGTTCAGCAATGAGCATGGATCTGGGGAATAGGAGCAAAAATGAGAACCGCTTCTCCCTCCTCCCCCTCCATGGTTCCTCTCTCTCTCTGTCTCCCTCCCAGGTCTCCTCATCCAGCAAGTGATCTTCTTCTGCTGCTCGGTGGCGTTTGCCTTCCTTGTTGTCATCCCACTCCAGTACGGCACGAGCACCCCCCTCTTCACAATCATCCAGAACATGTGGTGAGTGCTCCTAGCCCTTGGGAAGGGTGTGCTTTGGGGTGCTCTGCTGTGGGCTCTTCCATCTTTGCTGGATGTTTCCGCTGCCTGAGATGGTGTCTCGTGCTTGGGACCCTCCTGGTGTCCAACCTGCCTCTTCCCTCCCACCCAGGCCCTTCTGGTTGACCCTGGTGGTTGCCGTCATTGTGCAGCATTTGGCAGCTCACTACCAGTTCCTGGAGCAGCATCCCCTGCGGAAGGAGCTCACCAACAGGTATGGGGACATGGGGAGCCTTCAGGGCAGAGCTCACCCTCCCGAGGTCCAGGACTTGTGTTAAGTTTACACATGTCCCTGCTGTGGAGTCCACTGGGTCGTGAGCTCAAGGCAATTTGAGGCTGGATGCTCCCAGAGAAGTTTCTTCAGATGCTTGAAAGGGCCACAGTCCATTTACAGCCTTGATTTTGGTGGGGGGGAAACAGTGAGGTCTGCGCTCTGCCCTGTCACCTCCATTTGCAAGTCAGAGGAAGTCCAGATCCCTCAGGATCAGCTGGACCAGCTCAGTCCTGGCAGCAGATGAGGTCACACGCAGTGTCACAGCCCAGAATGTGCCTTATGCTGGAGGCTGGGGTGGCAGATGGATCTAAGTGTCCTGCTCCATCCACCAAAGGCGCTTCCACCACCTCCACCACTCCCCCGGCACAGCAGGGAGGCCGCTGTAGGCTCTTCTGGCCTCCATGGGGAGCTGGTGCCCTCCCTCCCAAACCTTTGCCTGGTTTCTATGTCTCTGAGGAGAAAAGGAGACCCTGTGTGTGCTGGAGGCCAAGCTCTGCGGTCCTGACAGTGTTCTGAGAGCCTGCAAGGGTGTTTGCCTCTCCCCATGGGATGGAGACACCTCAGACAGAGATCATGTCTGCTGAGGAGGGAGGGAAGGGTGGGAGGCTTGTTTTGGCAGGTTCCTCCGGCAGGGAAGGGCTGTGCTTCCCATCCCGTGCTGTTTGTGTTCCGTGCTCTTCCTTCTCCACCCACAGGCGAGCCCTCTACATAGTCACCTACCTGCTCTTCCCCATCAACGTCCTGGTGGGTGTCCTGGCTGGGGTGTGGAGGATGGTCATTTCTGGCCTTTACAATGCCATCCACTTCTGCCAGCTGGACATCAGCCTGCTGAACCGGGGCGTGGAGGCCTTTGACCCAGGTAGGGCACGGAGAGGGTCCCCCTGCAGCCCCTCTGGGAACATGGGAGCCCTTCTCCCACCCCTGAGCTCCTGGGGGAGGTGGCTCCTGGGGCTCCTCTGTATCCTGGAGCTGCCAGGACTGGGAGTGGCTTCAAACCACTGCATTCAGAAATGGGAAAACTGGAGCAAGTGGCTTCTCCTGATGCCCGCTTGGTCCTGCTTTTCTATCCCAAAAAGTGGGTGATGCCCTTGCGGGTTTCACCAGTGACCAGACCTCATTTCCACAAGCAGCACACCCTCATCTCTCCTGCACTAAAGGCAGCAGGAAAGGGACCTCAGCCCTTCCCCTGCTTTCCCTGCTGGGATTTTGGGAGCAGAGTTCATCCCCAGCATTGAAGGCAGAGCAGCTCTGGCAGGGCAGAGCTGGAGCCTGGCAAACAACCCTCCCCTTTGCTCCAGGGTGGGAGGGGTGGGGAGAGGAAGGGGGGATCCTGCAAGTCTGGCCCCCCCCAGATGCATTGACTGTGGTCTGTGTCCCCCCAGGCTACCACACGTACTGCCACTATCTGAAAATCGAGGTCAGCCAGTCCCACCCGGTGATGAAAGCTTTCTGCTTGCTGCTTCTCCAGCCAGCCCGGCCAGAGCGGCCGGCGGCACCCCAGCCCAGCAACGTGGAAGAGGGTGAGGCCTTCCCACCTTCAACCAAGGGGGATGCACAGCCGTCAGCGTGGGGTGGCATCAGCGCCTCCTCTGCAGGTTTGCTGCTCCTCTGGAGGTGCTGGTGGTGTTTGGGGTAAAAGGGACCGTGGAGGGTCGTGGTTCCAGTGACCTCTCTACTTTCATGACAACTTTCCTTGAATTGTGGATGCCTCCATCACAGGAGTTGCTCCTGTGCGAGGGCAGGATGAGGCTTCCAGGGGTGTGGATGGAATCTTGGCAGCCCCAGTGAGAGGGAGCTGGGGCTGAGATCATAGAATCCCAAAATGGTTTGAGTTGGAAGGAACCTTAAAACTCTTCTTGTTCTACTCCCTGCCATGGGCAGGGACACCGTCCACTATCCCAGGTTGCTCCAAGCTCTGTCCAACCTGGCCTTGGACACTTCCAGGGGTGGGGCAGCCACAGCTTCCCTGGGCAACCTGGGCCAGGGCCTCCCCACTCATCTAACCCTTCCCTCTTGCAGTGGGAAGCCCCTCGTCCTGTGTCTGCACACCCTTGTCCCAAGTCCCTCTCCATCTCTCTTGGAACTTCTTTAGGTACTAAATAATTCCCCCCCCCATTGCCATGTCCTTCCAGGCATCCAGCTGATGCATCCCGAGAGGACGCCCCTGAGCAGGGCACGGACCAGGCGGAGCCGAGCCCGTTGGTGCTTGGCTTACACGCTCCTCAACAACCCCTCGCTGACGGCCTGCCGGAAAACCGCCCTCTCCGACCCCACGGCCAACGGCACCCAGCTCAGCCCCCCCAAACCCTGACCTCCAGAGAAGCCACCCACCTCTCTCTGCCTCCCATGCACGCTCCTGTCCCATCCCGTTCCTGTCTCCTGTTCCTGCACCGACAGGAGTTTTGGGCCCCCTCTCCAGCCTCCGGAGCCTTTCCAGTGGTGTTGGGGGCTGGTTTTTATCTCTAGGTCAATGCTGAGCCACTCCCAAGGCCCAGAGGTGGAGACAACTGGGTCCCCTCCAAGCCTGACCTGGAAGGAGATGAGCCAAGCTAAATCCTTCCGGCATCTCAGAGATATTTTAGGAGTCACTCCTGCAATGAGCCCACCCGTTCTCAACAGCTGCCTTTTCGACACGTGGCAAGGCAAGCAAAACCCCCAGTGCCAGGGCATAAGGAAAGAGGGAGAAGGTGTGTGGAGGGATCCTTAACCATCCTCAGCACAAGGAATTACCTGCATCTCAATGTGATCTCCTAGTGGAGAAGACCCCCACTGCCAACCCCATCCCCAGCTTCTCCCTTTCTGATCCTGGCTCCCTTTGGGCACTGGGACTTGCTTTTTTCCCCAGTTCTGTGAAGGATAAAATCCCATCTGCCCCTGTTCTGGGCTGTGAGGCTGCAGAGCTGTTTGTTTTCTGTCCTCCCCTGTCCTCTCACCCCCCCACCCCAGTGCCTCTTGTTGCCACCCCGTTTTGTTTAAAGCCAGCAGCTCCCAGGGCGGGTGTCCCTCCGAGCGAGACGAGCTTGAATCCGTAGAATCCAGTTTTACACCTCGCTTGGATGTGCTGAGTCGGGGAAGGTTAATAAATCACATACCTCATTCCTACGCTCGGGCTGTCCTTGGTCTCTTGGATGTTCCCAAATCAGGCAGGGGGGACCTAAGGATCATCATCATCCTGTCTCCAGGTGATGGTTTCGACTCACCTTGTCCAGCAGAGACTTTGTGGTAGATCTGCTTAACCAGGAGGTGACGGGATCAAATCTGTGATCCCACTTTAGGGCAGTTTGAGTGCAAAACTAATCCCTTTGCTTTCCCTTCATAACACTTGGCCCCTAAACTGCAGCTCCCACAAAGGATGGGAACTGAAACAGGGCAGTCCACGGCTAAAGTACCAAAGGGAGATGTGCAAGGTGTTGTTGTGTCACCTTTTCCTACACCTAAAATCCTTGAAATCCTGCCTTTTCTGGGCTGGAAGGATGCCTGTGGCAGCAGCAAGCAGAGCTCTTGGTAAGTTCTACTGGTGGCTCCTTCCCTCTCAACGCCATCACAAACACCTCAGCCTTGCTAAAGCAGCCTTTGCAGCCCACCCTGCACTGAGCAGGGCTACTGGACCATCCCCTTGCCCCAGGGACCTCCTTGGAAGGAGGCTTCCAAGGACCCTACTCCCTCTTACTGGGATGTTTGCATCCCCTCAGTGTGGTTTGGGGGTAGCGAGGCTGAGCCCAGTGCTTTGGGGTTTGCCTGGAGTGTCCCGAGATCTTCCCAGCAACACCTGGGTGGGAGCCATCCTTTTCCACGGCAGTCTGACCCCCATTCCTTTCCATCCCAGGGAAGACAGGGGGTCTGTGCCTTCACCTGCTGCCTGCAGGTGCCACCCGGTGTGCTGGGATGCTGGAAATGCTGTCGCATCCCCTGCCCACCAATCCAGGGTGGTTAAAGTAATCCCTTTTGATCACTGTCTGGCACGAGCACGATGTCACCTGACTGGGTGACAGCGGTGCCACCGGAGGCAGGTCTAGGCTAGTTTCTTTTTAAGACAGCAGGAGCCCAAGGTGCAATTCCTGCCACGTTCCCAGCTGTGGGATTCGTGGTGTGCGTGCCTGGTTTGCACGGCAGAGCGCGGGAGAGAGGGGTGCTGGGTGTCCGGGGTGTCCCTGAAGCACCTCTCCCTCACAACCCATCCCAACCCACCTCCAACCTCCCAGGCACTGAAGACAGCCTTGGTAATCCCGAAAATCTCTGTCAGCTCAGGGCGGCGGGTGGAGCTGGATTTCAGCATCTGTTTACACAGCCCTGCCCCAGGCGTCCTGGAGATGTCTTGGCTGGGGCCCTGGTGAGAGATGACAGCCCTGGGAGGAAGACGGGAGGTGGCCTCATGGATTTGCTTGTTTTCTTGGACATAAACAGTGCCCTTGTTGGGGGGGGACTGATCTTTTCTTCTTCGTGGTGGCTTCACACCTCATCTTTAAACCCCCAACACTGCCTTGGCTGTGGGGTAGCTCTGCCCCTGCACATCCACACCCCTCTCCACCCTACCCCTGAGCAGACGGTGAGGTGGTTCAGGGAGCTGATCCAGCTGCAAATGGCCCTTAAGGAAAAATTGTCCGTGTGGGGAATGGAAATTCAGGTCTGGCTTTGCAAACGGGAGGGACGGAGGGCTGTGTTACCCCGTGGTGGGCCCAGATGGTGATGCCAGGTGTGATGTCACCTGCAGCATCCAACCCAGGAATGCCATGGCATGGGGCCCTGTTTGTTAGGAATGACTGATGCTTAATATCACTAACAACTTGCCATGAAATCTATGAGTAAACCTGGCCAAGGTGGAGGAATTCACTTTTTTTGGTGGCAGAACACCAAAGCTGGTGGGAGCTGCAGCTCTGCGAGACAGGCTTGGCTTGGGACTGCTGAGAGCCTAAATTTCATTTTTTTATCCTTATGCCAGGCCCCAAACTCTGTTCCCAGCTGAGACTGCTGGAATAAACTCCTGTACCCCACTATTCCCAGGCAAGCTAGGAAGGGAGGATGTCAGCTGATGTCAAACTGATCTCAGACTGATTTTAAAAGTTGTATCCTATGAAACGAAACCAAAACTCTCATTGGGGCCACATTGCTTTTCATCCTGTAATGGGAAAAATATGTTCCTGCTTGTTAGCATCCATTGGTGCCAGGAGCTCCTGCCTGGGTCTGAGATGTTTCTGCCTCAGGACCCCCACGGAGACCTTGGCGCCGTATGGGGCTGTGTTGGCAGCTCCTCGGCTCTTTCCTTACCCTACGAGCCATCTGGGTAAGGAATTTTGGGTCTGGAGAGCTTGTGTGGAGGCTTGAGGCTCTGGGATAGCTGGTTGCCAGCTGATTTGGGTGTTGCCGCCCTCCCCAGCTTGCTTCAGGCACGGATGGGTGGGTTTTGGGGTATCCAAAAATGCCTCCTCCCTCCAGGTTATGGTGGGGGGATAATATGGTGCAGGGAGGGATCTGGAGGCATGCTATGGGATGGGGAGGTTTTTTAGGGAGCTGGGGGAATGCTGCAGCACAGGGAACTGGGAGATGATATGGCACAGGCAGGGTTTGAGGGAGCTATGGTGGCACTATGGGATGAGAGGGGTTTGGGGGAGCTGGGAGGATGATACAGCCCAGGGAGGGATTTGGAGGAGCTGTGGGGAAAAGGAGATGTCCCTTGATCAGAGAGGGTTGGTGATGAGCTGTGGTACCCCAGGTGCTGGGGGGTTTGGGGATGCACAGAGGCAGCATGCATCAGCTTGTTTAAAAAAGAAAAAAAAGGTATTTATTGCTGTCCATACAGGTTTGGTTATAAGGTGAGGGGGCTGCAGGGGTCCATCCAGCTCCCACAGATGGTATGAAAGCTGGACCATCTGTACCTTGAGGTGGGGGAGATGGAGATGCTCAATCCCCCCACCAGGAGACAAAGGGTTCTCCAGCACCCTGGGACAGCTGGATAAGGAATATATGTCCCGCATGGGAATGCTAAAGCACTTAAGGGGTGTGTTTATGGCTTATAGGTCAGCTCAGCTTCTCTCTCTCTAGTCTGGGGTTTCCCAATCTTTCTTCCTCCCGCTCCACCATGCAGCCCCTGCTTGGTATCCTGTCAAAGAAGAGCGCTAGGGAATTATTTGGGTCTCTTTGAGCTCAGTCCCTCCCTGCTGGGCTCAGAGCCGAAGCAGGGCAGCTCAGTGGGTCCAGCCCAGATGAGTGTTTTGGACCATGGGTCTCAGCAGTGAAAGGGGAGGGAGATGGAAATGCTGTGGCATTCAGGGAAGGCACAGGCATTTTAGGTGCTCCCAGCACCCAGCCAGCTGGAGCCCTCTGTGCTCCTTCAGGGAGGAAGCCTGTGGCAAATCTTCTCCCACTCCTAAAAGGGGCCTGATCCAAGCCCATGGCTCCATCCAACATGTTCTGCTGTACCCATTCTGCCTACAGAGCATCATCACAACTCTGTCCCTCAGAGCCACATCTCCTGGGATCCCAGGACCCCATTCCCCGCCTCTTTCTCCATTCTCAGACCTGTCCTTCTGCTTCAGGTAATGTTGGTGGTGGGAAGGATGCACCTGAGCTGGCCAAGGGCCCATCTGCTGGTCATGGAAGGGATGTTATCCTTGGAGCCCCTCCCTGGTCACAGCTGGATGCTGCAGGTGGAGGGGGGCTCCTGGTGGGCTCTGGGGACAGGTGATGGTCACCTTGTTGAGGGTGGACTTTAATCCTGCAGCCACACTTTGATCTCAGGAGGGAGATAAGGGGGAGGTGTCAGATTTGGACACCTGGAAAGCGGCAGCAGGGTGTGGATCTGCTCGACATCACCCAAACTCATTCAAAACCTTCAACTAACAGAGCCCAGCCCTGATCCCCACCTAAGGAGGGGTTGAACTACCAGCCCCAGGCCTGGGTCTTGGCCCCCTTTGACTCCTGACCGCCCACAGTTCCCAGAAGCTCAGCAAAGGCACGACACTACGTGAAAATAAATGCTACAGAAAGAGGGGGAACCCCCAAGGCACCGTTTCCTCCTCCCCCGTTTACCAGCAGAGCAGGATGCCCAAGGCCAGCAGGAGGGTCCCCACGTGGACCTGAGGCAGAGCCCCTTCAGCCCCGCTCTTCGACTCCCTCGGCATGTGGTAAACGATCACCAGCTTTTCTCCAACGCCCGAGGGATCCATTTCATCCCCCTTGTAGCAGCTCCGCCCCCCGAGGTGGCCGGCGTGGGGATCATCTCGGAGCAGATCTTCAACCGGATTCTCTGACCCAGCCAACGCCACGTTGACCGAGACATCCCGCGTGCCCACATCGTTGACAGCGAGACAGGTGTAGGTGCCTTCGTCCTCCTTGCTGAAGTTGGGGATGGCCATGGTGCCGTTCTTGAAGACCAAGAAGTGCTCTTGGCTCTGCTTGACGTTGCCGTCCCGTGCCACGTTGGGCCCGTTGATCTCGATGCGGCGGCTGGAGGTCTGGATTTTCCAGCGGATCTCCGGCGGGGGGCTGCCCGCCACGCTGCAGTGCAGGGTCAGCGTCAGGCCGTCGTACATGACCGTGTTGTCCAGGTTGGAGAGGTAGGTGAGCTGCACGGAGGGCGCGACGCAGTGGTGGTCGGGGATGTCTGTCACTGCCCTGCCCTTCAGCCTGGCGGGGGCCACGCACAGGGTGGACCCCCCCTTGGTGATGGAGACCGAGGTGCGCTCAGTCCACTTCTTCAGCCAGAAGACCTTGCAGGAGCAGTTGAAGGGGTTGTTGAAGATCTGCAGCTGGGACAGGGAGGGCAGGTTGTCAAAGGTGCCCTCCGCCAGGGTGGTCAGCTCGTTGTCGTTGAGCCAGAGGGAGCGCAGGTCCTTCAGGGAATGGAAAGCATCCCGGGACAGCCCGGCCAGGCGGTTGTTGTTCATCTTCAGGATCTGCAGACCGCTGAGGTTGCGGAGGATCCTGCCAGGGGAAATCTGCGATCTTGTTGTGGCTCAGGTCCAGGTTCTTCAGGTGCACCAACAAGGCGAAAGCCCCTGGTTCCACCACCCCGATCTGGTTGTAGCCCAACCACAGTGACTGCACTTCAGGAACCTCGGCAAAGGAGC